CTCTCAAACTTTACCCGTCATCAAAATTACCGGAAAAGTTTGTTAAAATAGATTGTTGGACCATCCCTCCAGAGTTTTGGAGTCACTAGGTCTGGGTGGGACCCAAGAGTTCTCATTTGTACCAAGTTTCTAGGTAAAATTGATGCCCCTTGTTTGGGAAGCATGGGCATCAATGGCAAGTAACATCTGAATTGAGACATGGAGATACAGGATTTAGAAAAACACTGTGTTTGTATAGGTGGGAGGAAGGATGGTGAGGAAAGCTGAGGGCAAAGGCCTAGATAGAGGATAACTGCATGTCATCCAGAGGGACCTGCGGAACTGTAGGGTGTAGAGAATGGGGAGATGCAGTGCAGAGGTGAGGAGGAACCAATTTTTAGAAGTGTTCTACCATACTAAATTTTGGTGGAGAGCCAGTGATTGTAAACAGGGAAGCAACATGATCAGATGTACAATAGTGAAAGACCATGTTGTCCATCACAGAGTGTGGATTGAAGGTGGGCAAGCTCAGTAAGGAGACTAGTTAGGAAGCTACTATAGGAATGAGTTGGTAGCCAGGAGCTGCATAGTGGCAGTGAGGATGAAGAAAAGTAGAATAATTTGAAAGATGCTTAAGAGGTAGACATTAAATTCTTAATGATTCATTGCTGGAATAAGGGAGAAAAATCAAAGTTTAATTCCTAAGCTTCTGCTTTGTACAGTTAGGCAGGGCTGTAACACAACAGCAAAGGTAGACTGGAGAAAAGCAAAGTGTGTAGAAGGAAGGCGTGGAGAGAGGGGTGATATTGTTTTGGGCCCTGCTGATGTCCCACAGCAGGGATTGAGCTCAAGAGAGTGATCTGAACTAGAGATGTAGAGGTGGGACTTGCTGGCATATAGACGATAACCGGGGCAAGGGAACCAATGGAGTTGCTTAGATGAGATATGTCGTGATAATAGAACATTGCCACATTTAGGAAATCCTTGGAAACACTGCCATTTAAGAGGCAGAGTGAGGAAGAGATGTTTGCAATCGAGACTGAAAAGGAGCTAGCAAAGAAGTGGGAAGAGAGAACTAGGAAGAAAACCAAGAGAATGTGACATAATGGAAGCTGAAGGCTCCAGCCATACCAGAAGCTGGGGAGAGATCATGTAAAATAAGAGGTGAACAGTATCAGTTCTTGGAGGAAGGTCATGGATAACCCAAGTACAAGTTCTTATGGTGAGCTATACAGTTTGCTTTCTCATTTTCTGTACGTTTCTGGTTCAGAGGCAGATGAATATAATGACAATTTCTGGGTTGCCTTTTTTTTTTTTTCATTTCAGAATTTCCATGAATGTATCTGCTATTAAAAATGAAACTGAATGCATGCTATAAATAAGCCTTTTCATATTAAATTTTGGAAGTTTCCTGCAGTCTTCTCATATATGTTGGGCTTTCCTTCAGAAATAGTGAAACCTGAACTGATACTCTCTTGAAGATTTATCTATGAAAAAATAATGGAAAAGTAATCCATATAGGAAGTCCAATGACGTGATTTTTTTTCTACAGTTGTATTTCATACAAATGCATGTCTGTGCATTCTTTTTTATAATTCGGCTTCTAAGTTTATTTTAAGATGATCCTAGAAAAACGCATCTTACTCCATTTTACAAAAACCAATATCCTGAAATTCTTATGTTGAAGTGTAGAGTTGTGTTTATTATGTTTTCTATTATTTGAAAGCCAGTAAAATCAATAATGGGAGACTCGTGAGGGATTTTGCTCTGGTTTTTCTCTTTGAAATGAGATTATAGGGATTTATGACAATCTTGAATTTTCAAGCTATACAATAAATACCCAAAGGGCCATCTGGAAAACATGAACATTTCTGGTAATTTAGAAATGGAATTTCTTTAGTAAAAGATTACTATAACTGGAATCTTAGATTTCCTTTGCAAAAGATCAAACTTAACTGATTAAGAAGTATTTTAAAGGAAACAGTTACCTAACAACTCCACTATTAGCTTTCTATGAGATTTAACATTTCAGTGGGAATTGTGAAACTCTTTAAGTATCAGAAAAAAGTATTTCTCACATTTTGTTCATGTAAAGAATATATAGATCATAACTATTTTTCTCAAAGCACTGTTTCTTAACCTGATGAAAACTCCTTGCCTTAACTTGAAAACTCCCTAGAGTTCCTGGGTATTGGGAACCAGGCTTTCCTTCCTGCCAACCAGTTCCCCCTACCGTCCCTAAAGACAGCTTATGTTTTTCAGCTTTTGATTTCTGTTAATTAGAATGTCTCCTTATATCTTTCCACTTGCCTTCATTTCTACCTATTGATATCCCCCAAAACCCAGGTCAAATACTACCTATCCTATTGGGTTAGTAGACTTGCTAGCCACATCAACATATAATGTTAGCTACTGCATATGATAGCTATTTGCAAACTTACTTCTAGTTATATTGTAAGCTTCTAGGAGACAAAAATTATATCTTATACCTTCCATGTTGCCTAGCATGATGCCTAACATGGTTGTCACTATTTAAATGTTTGTTCATTATATTTATATTTAAAATGTTCACAGTAAGAGCCAAGTTAGAATTTGGAACACCAATTTTCTCTTTTTCTGCCCTTGCCCAACTATGGAAGAAAAATGGGTCAGATTCTCTCTGGAGAATGTAGTCATTCAAAATTTATAATTCATCTAGGTTCAACCAGAAACAAATATGTGTAAATTATGATTACAAGTTTCTCCTACAGGAAATAAGATTGGAACTGGCAAAAATATTTTCCAAAAAAAATTTTTTACTTCTAAGGTAGAATTCTTGACTCTTTTAATCTGTCAGTTACAATGGAAGTCTTCTCATCCAGCATAACTGGACTTGGTATTATATTTGGTCAATTTGTTGAAGTTTTTTAAAGTAGAAAAGCATTTAAAAAGTATATAGATACTGTCATTTAAAACACAAATAATCACTTACCAGTCTTTGAAATAAAGCTTCTTTTTGACAATGGAGTTCTCTCTATAGAACAAATCACCAAAATGTATTGTCTACTGCATCGTGTCAAATTTTTTTGAAGTAATCTGAGTGTAGAAATTTTCTAGCTTTCTGTTTATTGACCAGTCCGTATTTTAAAATTCCTTCACTTTTGCTAAGTTAACATTTTAATGTTTTAGTCTTTCCAAAGCATTCAAGAGACATTTCATAGATATGTCTCCTTTATTTCATAATCATTTTATGAAATATATTTTAATATTTATAATATATGAAACATAAACAATATTAAATAAAAATTTTATATTTATATAATATTAAATAAAATTATACATTATGTAATCATGTATAATTTGAGAATAAATACACCTGTATTTATTAAATAGTAATTAAACCAGTTGGAGCAGAAGCGCTTAGGCATAGGGAAGAATAATAGCATGTTACCTGCCAGTGTTAGCGTGCACTGTGACATGGGTGGCACTTAATACACTGCATATAAGGAATAGAGAGTAGCTGTTAATCTGGGAAACTGACTAGATGGAGAGTGGTTAAGAGATCTTCTGTTACACTCTTGTTACTATATTTATGACATTGTTCCGCAGAAAAATTGAGAAGTAATTTATTAATAATTCAGTAACTTTACCCTCTGTCCTGAAGGACAGTGGGGTTAAAGATATTGGGTGGGGAGGAGTATAAATGAGAATAAGCTAAAAAATAACTTTCTTTAATGGATGTGTTGTGTTAATTCAGGGATAACTGCCAAAGGTCTATGTATGGAGGAAAAATATAGCATAGTACATCTAGGCTATTTCAGGTGTATTGGCTTCATTTCTGGACTTAGAATGATCTTTATAAAAAATTCATATGGCTTAAAATTATTGAAAGAATGAGGTGAAGGAGAGAATAGAACATTGGGAAAATGTATTTATTTTTATGCCTTATGGAAATTGATTACAGATACTCTCACAGTATCATAAGCTAATCATGGCTGTTTGTATCAAATCATAATTTTGTGACATAAAATATCAGAATGGGGGTGGGGAGTTAAAATCAGCCAAGAATATTTTAGAAATGAAATTTAAGAATAGAGAATTCCTATAGTAAGGTTGGATTTTGTCTTCACAAAATATTTAGAGATAGAACAGTTATTAGATATCATCTAACCTAGTAGTTCTCAACTCTGGCTATTCATCTGAGATATATACAGAAAATAACTCTTAAGTTTTAAAAATCACATTTCCTATAAATCATCCCAGGTTTCTTCCTTAATGTACTGACCTTATTTAGTCTACCTAGTGTTTAAATATTCCTCTCATTTTTATTATGACTGCATATTATTTTTGGTAATATAATAAAATGACCAAGAAAGTAGGTAATATGAAATGATTTTCAGGAAATATCTTTAAAAACATTCTACTGTTAAAACAACTGGTTCAAGGAAGTGTTTTGAGTTAGTATAATGCTGTAAAATACAACCACTTACTTTCAAGACTATTTTTTGATCCCTCAGAAACCTTGTGAAAGCAATGTTTGCCTACGGATCTTTCTAAAGTCCCAAGAATTTTCCTTGAAATAATAAGACATGCTCAAAGAAATCCCATTATATATGAACTTACTGACTTAATGGACTCTAATGAAAGATAGTTTATCTTCCAATAGTAAAACAAATAAGATAAAATTAAATAAAAATATGAACAATATTGTTTCTGGATTTTCTCATGTTAAAACTCTGCATAAGCCAGGCACAGCGGCACATGCCTAGAGTCTCAGCTACTTGGAATGCTGAACCAAGAGGATTGCTTGAGCCCAGGAGCTCAAGGATGCAGTACACTATGACTGGGCCTGCAAATAGCCACTGCACTCCAGCATGGGCAACATAGCGAGACTCTGTCTCTAAAAAACAAAACCAAAAACAAAGCACAGCTGATTAAGTGGATTTTGGTGGGTTTACATTTTACCTAGAAAATAAGTTATTTTGGAGTTTTACTTTCTGAGCATTAGGCTTGCCTTCATATTTGAACTTTTACTTTTCTAGGGTTTTGAAGGTATTTCTTTCACGAACGGCTCAACGAATTCCATATATGACTGGAGGACGGGTCATGAGGATGCTGGCAGTAATACTCTTGGTAGTGTTTTGGTTTCTCATTGGCTGGACCTCATCTGTGTGCCAGAATTTGGAGAAACAGATTTCACTTATTGGCCAGGGGCAAACATCCGATCACCTCATCTTCAATATGTGCCTCATTGACCGCTGGGATTACATGACAGCAGTAGGTATGTGGTCACTTGTTTCTTGTGATGGTCTTACCATTTTTCAGTAGCATTAAAACTGACTTCATTAAAAGTCCTGCCAGACTCTTTTATGAAGCCTAAATGTAATTTTGGTAAAATAACATGAAAATGGCAGTAATAGCATGTGAAATACAAACTTTTTCTGGAAGTTTCTATTGTTTTTCAAAGGTATATAGCTTTGTTGAGACAATGTCATAAATCAGAAAGGAGAAATGAAGTGAATAATGGCACCTTCTGTGTATAAACAGCTTACTTTTTTTGATCTTATCAGTTGGTCCCCATTTGACTAACATTAGCTATTCTCTTGATTTATTTCCTTACTTGGGAGAAAAAAGGAAGCATGCTGGTTTTCTCCAATAAAATGTCGGCCCTATAATATATCAGAGTTGGTATGTAGGGTGCTTTTTGTAAAAAGATTAATCAGAAATTTTGCAGAGACAATCTATCTTCCCTATGCTGACCTTAAAAGATAACTTACTTCTAATTCTCTGAGGTTCAGATTACACAAAGACTAAGCCATGTTACTTGAAGGTAGTGCTGTGTGGCTAAGTTTGGAGAACTTAGAAGAGCTGCATCATGGCTTGGGCCCAAAACACAGATTGTTGTTCTGGCAGGCCAGTGTTTTAAAAAAAGAAGGGGGAAAATCCATGGGAATTTTTCTGTTGTTAGTATTAGTCTATTTTAAGCTAAGTCTCTAAAGATATCCAAAAGAAGAATATTTTATTGTTGTTCCCCTCAGTAAGTCAGAGGACAAACCTTAATTATATTTGGCAGGAGTAAAAAAATAGAAACATGAATTTGATTCTCATATTTTGTAATTGTTGGCTAAATATTTACATCCGGTCTTTTGCTGAAAGCTAATAAAATGTGTATTTAGGTTGCAGTTTAAATGGAGAAATATTTTTCTGGGCAAGATATTTTAGGAATCTTATAAACCTGATATCTGCAATAGTGAAGCAATATGGGTATGTAAAGAGAATGGTTATAATGGTAATAGATAAAGCTTATTATATTTTGGATAATATAACTATCAGAAGATAAATCATAGAGCTAAGGTAGGAAGCGATTCTGATCTTGACTTTAGTCTGGATAAGAAAATTAAATTGTATAGATAAAAAATTTCTACTCACCCTAACATTGTTTTATGCTCTCAGTGCAAGTTAACCAAATAGGAAAAATCATTTCCTTGCATTATTATGAAGCAAAAGACACTAGTTTTTATTTTTCTGTTTAACAACAACAGCAACAAAATACATGATGACACAAACAAGCACATAGCATGGCCTATTCACCCAGAATTTTTTTTTTCATGCATTGGAATTCAGATGCATTTGAGACCTTTAACAAAATTATTTTTCACTCCAAAGAGGATCATATTTGTGATTTCTATGTAGGAATATATAGAAATATATAATTGATAGTATCCCATATAAAGTCCTTATTCCTTGATCAGATAGCTTACTATTGATTCACATAGATAAATGAGAATTATTCAAAATTACTGAAAAGCAAAGTGAGGTGGTGAAGATTCTTGGTGCAATAGTGGTTTACTAAAAGACGATAGCGATTTGGACCAGAACTCAGGAATCTTTTATAAAGGATGAGTACTTTAACCATGGATAATATTTCTATTATTGTATAGAGGTTTCAAGAACATTCATTTTATAAGAATAGTGAAGGATGGGCCAGGGGCAGTGGCTTGTGCCTATAAACCTAGCTACTGGGGAGGCGAGGCATGAGAATTGCTTGAACCTGGGAGGTGGAGATTGCAGTGAGCTGGGATTGTCCCACTGCCCTTCAATCTGGGCAACAGAGTGCGACTCAATCTCCAAAAAAAAAAAAAAATAGTCAAAGATGAAAGTGGGTGGAAATTGTATGAAACATGGAGGAAATGCCTACCTAGAAAATAAGATAATGTTGGAATACATTGTGAGTAGTACTGGATGGTTAGTTTGTTGTAGGTTTATTACCTATACTTTAATAATACTGTATGGTTAAGTTTATTGAAAATGTCTTAGGAATTTAGAGAAGCAGAAAAGTGATATAATGAATCAGTAAATTCAATCGAGATGACTACAAGGATATATATTTTTTTTAAGTGAAATGTACCAAACTCACCAAATTCAGGGGTTTGGGAGTTGGAATCATTAGAAGGGAGAAAGAGCAGTTCTCAAAGTGTGGTCCCAGAACCTGCAGCAGCTGCATCGCCTGGGGAATTGTTAGAAGTGCAGATTCTTAGAGCCCACTCTGATTTCCTCAAACACTCCAGGATGGTGGGACCCAGCAATCTGTGTTTCATAAGCATTTCAGGTGATTCTCATGTTACTGCGAAGTATAGAACTGCTGACTCCATGGAAGGAATCAGATGAACTTATGAGAACATAAAAATAACTAATTTCAGTAGTGCCCTGGCCATTCCATTCACCTTTACTGTTCCCCTGATCAACCACTAGAACATTCTTTGCAATGATTATTTCAAATCCTCTTTTCATACCTCCAAACTCTATTTCTTTGTTCTCTTAGTAAATGACTTCTACTTGAAAAAAATAAACAGGAGCCATCCAATAGAAATGTCTTCAAATTCCTACCTTCATATCTATAAGTCCTCCCATATCCACATTTATTCTTATCTTTTCTCCCTCATATTATCTAAGGTAATACCCCAACCTCTGCCAGACTCATCTAACATTTTGCTCCCCTCATCTCCAGTGGCCACTCTCATTTTATATGAACTTTCTGTCATCTAAAACTCCCCTGCCTCCAAAGTCACTCATTGAATACACTGAAGAATTCCATTCTTAGCTTTTGGGGTACAGGTGATTTTGGTTACATGGATGAACTGTGTACTGGTGAAATCTGAAATTTTATTGCACCTGTCACCAAGTAGTGTACATTGGACCCAGTCTGTACTATTTTATCCCTTGCCCCCAATGCCTTCTGAGTCTGCAGTGTCCATTATACCATTCTGTGTACCATTATGTGCCCATAGTTCTCCTCCCACTTATAAATGGGGATGCAGAGTATTTGGTTTTCCATTCCTAAGTTATGAAGAATTCCATTCTGACCACAACCCATTCCTACTTCATTTAACTACTCCCTCTACAACAGCTCTTTAGTAACATAGATTGTTTTCATTGTACTTTACTGTTTCTGAATTTGCTCTCCTTCAGGGAGAAAGCTTACCAGACAGCAGATTTTTCCACTTGCAGGAATGGAACTATGGAAAGAAAATGGGCATTTTTAAAATACATTAATTTTGAATAATACTGGGAAAGAGGACAGAGAGAGTAAGGAGGACACTGAGATACACAGTGCAAGAGAGAATGAAGATTCATGGCCTGAGGGGGCTGCAGAGCATACCGTTCCTTAGGTAATTACCAGGTCTCAGTTAAAGAGCTACAGAGAAGCTAAGAGAAGACATTGATTATAGTGGTAGGATCTAGATCATGGCTTCAGGAATGAGATAGAAATATCAAAACATAAGAGGCAGAAGTTAAACTAATACTCCTAATGGTGTTAGGTGATAACATTAGGGACTCTTAGAAAATCAAGACTCGTGATAAGAGTGCAGGGACCAAGAAGTAAGAGAAAGTTGTTTCTTGTCTTCTGCTAGCTTTTGAATTTGTTTGATCTTATTCCTCTAGTTCTTTTAATCATGACTTTAGGGTGTTGATTTTAGACCTTTCTTCCTTTCTCTTGTGGGCATTCAGTGCTATAAATTTCTCTCTGCACACTGCTTTAAACGTGTCCCAGAGATTCTTCAGTTTCCATGTAGTTGTGAAGTTTTATGAGTTTCTTAATCCTGAGTTCTAATTTGATTGCACTGTGGTCTCAGAGACTGTTATGATTTCCATTCTTTCACATTTGAGGAAGAATGTTGTACTTCTAATTATGTGGTCAGTTTTAGAATAAGTGTGATGTGGTGCTGAGAAGAATGTATATTCTGTGGATTCGGGGTGGAGATTTCTGTAGATGTCTATTGGGTCCACTTGGTCCAGGTCTGAGTTCAAGTCCTGGATATTCCTGTTAATTTTCTGCCTCGTTCCTCCATCTCATATTGACAGTTGGGTGTTAAAGTCTCCCACTAATGTTGTGTGGGAGTCTATGTCTCTTTGTAGGCCATAAAGAACTTGCTTTATGTATCTAGGTGAACTAGAGAATCAAGAACAAACAAATTCAAAAGCAAGCAGAAGACAAGAAATAACTATTATGGGAGCAGCACTGAAGGACATAGAGACACAAAAAACCCTTCAAAACTCAATAAATCCAGGAGCTGATTTTTGAAAAAATCAACTAAATAGATAGAAGGCAAGCCAGAGTAATAAAGAAGAAAAGAGAGAAGAATCAAATAGATGCAATAAAAAATGGTAAACAAGGTATCACCACCGATCCCACAGAAATGCAAACTACCATGAGAGATTACTATAAACACCTCTATGCGTTTCTAGAATAAATGGATAAATTCCTGGACACTTGAACCCACCTAAGACTGAACCAGGAAGAAGCTGAATCCCTGAATAGACAAATAACAAGATATGAAATTGAGGCAGCAATAAGTAGCCTACCAACCAAAAAAAGTCCAGGATCAGACAGGTTCACAGCCAAATTCTACCAGAGGTACCATTCCTTCTGAAAGTATTCCAAACAATACAAAAAGAGGAAATCCTCCCTAACTCATTTTATGAGACCAACATCATCCTGATATGAAAACCTGGCAGAGATACAATTGAAAAAGAAAATTGCAGGCCAATATCCATGATGAACATTGATGCAAAAATCCTCAATAAAATACTGGCAAACCGAATCCAACAGCACATCAAAAAGCTTATCCATCACAATCAAGTCGGTTTCATCCCTGGAATGCAAGGCTGGTTCAACATAAGCAAATGTATAAACATAATCCATCACATAAACAGAACCAAAGACAAAAACCACGATTATCTCAATAGATGCAGAGAAGGCCTTCGACAAAATTCAACAGC